CACAAGAATGAAGTCTGATGATTCTATTATCGTCCGTCAAGATGATACGAAATCATTTTAAATACACTTAATGGAAATGTTACTGTTCATTTTATTGACAGATCCAGCTGATTCCCGCTCCATCGCCCGTTTCCCGACGACCAAGGATTACGGGAAATTCGAAGTGTAATCCCTTTAACCGGACTAAACTAGTCGAATCTCTCTCTAATTCCGTGTCCCTGTATTTCGCATCATCTCACTGTTTTGCCTCGCATATTTCAACACGGTGAGCCCACGAAAAACGAAATGACATCCGACGAGACGGAAGGGGAGGGGGGACGGACAAAAGAAAAAACGAAGCGAAACAATAAAATTCAACCCTCTGTCAGCTTTAAAGGCAGCTGATTAGTTATGCATAGCAGTGAAAATATGTTGTTGGGGGACCCTCGTTAATAAATAGGCTTTTGGTTCTACTGAGAAAACAAAGGGGGATCGAGATAAACAACAAAACAACATGTATTTGTCTTGTTTTACACTAAATATCCGACCTCAAGCAAATATACAGAGTGAACCATGGTAAAGGTTTTGATGTGTATAAAAAAGTCAAATTTAAGATAAATATGCATGAGTTTATACTAGGAAACTTATTGAGAACTGCTGATTTCAATATAGCAGCACACATAACAACTAAGTATGCAATGTTGTCGGTTGAATTAAATATACTTAAGAGAAAAACGCCGTCCGTAAAAATAACAAAACTACACAAATACTGACAACAGAATCGGAGTTGGTTTACTAATGTAAATTCGAATATGTTCACTCAAAATAAGTATCTCGCAGCAAATAGTATTTACACTAAATAGTAAAAATAAAGCAACACAAAGTTTACAAAGTTTAGATTTCAGTGGTCTATCGTCTAATGGTAAAAAATCTTGCAGTTTTAACAATGCCTGAAAAAAAATAGAACTTTTTTTTGAATGTACTAGCTCAAAAAAAATAATATTGAGCTTAAAGAAATGAAAGAGTTGTTAGATTTTAATTGATTAAACATAAATTTAAAAATTATGCGCGCCTAAAGTTTATTAAAAAAAATCTGGGTTTCATTTGTTTTTTTGTCTGGAATTGGATAAATTCAGACACCCTGTACAAATATTTATAAATAGTAATTTAATATACATATACAGGGTGATTCACAAATGGTGACCAAAAATGAAACCTCATATTCTTTGACGAATTTTAAGGAGAGTCTTCCCTATAAAGTTTTTATCTAGGACGGTTCGTTAAAAAGATACAGGGCGTTAAACTTCAAAAAACATTTTTAATTTTTTTAAATATTTTAAAAATTAGTAAGTGAAATAATTTGAAATGGGGCACATGCACTTATGTAAACATTGTCCAAAATCTGACTGCTTTTTTTAAAATTTACATGCTCCATTAGCGGAGATACAAGGTATCGGTTGCATATTTTTCTCAATAAAATAGTACGCCACTGCTTTACGGTAACAACCATGATATTTTCGGATTCGTCTTTCAATTTTCTACATTTTTGGTCACCATTTGTGAATCAACCCGTAAAAAATAAAAGCATGGAACATCTGAAATCTGATGAAGAACTGAAACCGAGTACGACTCTGTTGAGAGCCGCTGCTCCCGAACTCTATTAATATCTGCGCAAATAATTGTAACTTTGAAAAATGACTTTCACTGAAGTTTTTATAGAAAATATAGATCGTTATTAGAACCTCGCAACCAAGAGAGAATATACTACGCGAATCTGCAACTACGATTTTTTTTGCCTACTACATTTTTTGCGGATTAATGTCGTCTTAAAATTTAGGATATTGGGTGGCTCGTCCCAGGAGTGCTTTAAAGTCTTAAGACGAAATTCAATGAATTTTAAGCAACCTACCAGAAGTGCATGAAAACTTCTAGCAAAATATGTAGTCGTGGAGTAACCAAATAAAACTGTTTGCTACAAAGTTTGTGAGGAACTTAGATTAAAATAAACTTGTGAAATTTGATTTAACAACGTCTCTTTGTGCGCTTATATTACATTGCGACTGTACAGGGTGAAGCTAAAATGAATGACCAAATTTCAATAGCAAATTCTACGAAAAATAAAATCAACACAAATTACACAGGTCAACATTTAGTTTGGTGTCGCTGATTCCGATGCCGAGGTCAGTTAAACTTTATCACACCAGGTTCAAGGTCAGTTGAAGGTCAAACTAGAAAAGGTGGTAGCAAAAATCTGAAAAAATTTATACATAGGTTTTTTGGGTCACTGAATCTGAATCCAATGTCGGTTGACCTCTATCACCTCATGCTCAAGGTCGTTTGAATAAAGTAAGAATAGGAGGTGAAAAAAATTGGATTTTTTTTACTTTTGTCTGTTTTCTGTCTGCCTTTTTACCTGCACACGTGTCTGTTTGGTTGTTAGTCTGTATTTATCGTCCACCTGTGTTTTCTCTCTGTCCATCTACCTGACATCCTGCCTTTCTACCTACCTTTTTGTCGGTAATTTTGTCTATCTTCCTATCTGACTAAATGACTAAATGTTTCTATCCGTCTGTTTTTCTGCCACCCTTCACAAAATTATGTTCACAAAATTGGAAATGGTTTTTTATTGAGAGCTACTCTATCGGATAAAAAAGAAAAGACAAAAATCTGATATTTAACTACAGGAGAGCTTAATTCTTCAAATTAATAATTTCAGTATTTTTAAATTATATTTATAACGATTATCATCTATTTTATCACGCAGTATGTTTGTTTAACGACTTCATTAAAGCTTTACAAACTTGTAGTGAACCTGAAACGCCAGCAATTTACCGATTAATTAAATTGACACGGCCGTCGACGGAACCGATAATTATTTTATATTTGATAACTTATCACCCAACTCCCAGTCGCTGAAATTTAAATATAGAATCTTCTGTGTTGACGCAATTACAGTTAAAAATGATTATTAAATCAGGACGGTGTAAAAAAACGCCGTCGCTTCGGATGTCCCAGTTTTTCGTTAAATTAATAGAACGTAAAATAAGATTACAACGAATTTCAAGGCAGCTTAGAATTGTATTTCTAACTTAGAGGCGCAAAATGTCAAAAAAATGAAAAAACGTTAGTGAATTTTTACTACGCCTCAGTTTCAGACATTTTTCCAATTCATGTAAAAACAATGTTAAAAAGGAATTAATTATTTTCATCTTCTCTTTTCCATCAAATAAATGTGTTATACATGGTGGGCCTTAAGGAGGTATATCGGGGTCCGAGGGAAGTGAGGAGCGCAAGGGGAGTCCTATTATTTTCTTATGGGACTAAAGCCCGCTGCAAATTTGAAAAAATTAAATTCTATTGAAATTATTTGCGATAAACATTATCTATATAGCAAAGAAATATACTCAATATGCACATAACATACATATTGAAAATTAACAACATAAAAATATCATATTTAAGTAGTTTTAAATTATATTTAATGAACGCACAAACACTATGTAGATGTGGCAACAGCGCTTATAATCGAGTGCAGTTGTACATACTGCGAACCTACAGACCTCGGACATCGGAGATATTGCACGTCAAATTCGGGTAAAGATGCGTACGCGTTCAAAAATGTATTGTGTGTAAACTATGTACAATATAATTATTATATATAGCAAATATATCGTATGATCCTCGCGAAGATTTGTATCCTTTATTTAAAATCCGTAAATCATGTGAACTGGTAAAACAACGAGAATTATGTTAATTTAGTTCTAAAGAAATGAAATGTCACTCGCGCCCATCTTTCGTCCAAGTCGAAGAAAATGTTGGATGCAATTTTGAAGGTTCTGTGATAGAAATTACATTATTAGTCACTGTTCGTGTTTTTCATCTCTATTTTAGTAATGTTACAAAAGTTTTGCAACTATAACTAATTTTTTAGATATAAAGTTTGCTGAGAAATATTTATGTTCCTTTGTTATTCCGTACAAATACTTTTATCTCAAGTATTACTAATTTATATTAATCAAGTAAAGAAAAATTTATGTAACCCTAAATATTGCTGGGTACGGATTACGATGTTTTTATAAACCATTAAATACATATATTAAAACTGTATTTTTTATTCCAACAAAAATATCACAGCTTCCTAGTCTTTAGTTTTAAAAACATTGCAAAAAATAATCTGTTGTGGATAATGTATTGTTGATAACAATGTACATGGTATTTAGGAAAAATGTATATGTTTGAAATCAATTTCGTTTTTGTCAAGTCTTTCAAATGTATTCCCTCCTTGCTGTCAGCTGATTGCGACGTTGCCACATCAATCCTCAAGTCAGATAGAAATGCAATTATTGGTTTCTGTTTCAAAACTTACATTAGTTTTACATCAAAAATAAGATAATACTGTGTACTATCTATGGAAAAGTTTTGTTTCCCAATTTCTACATTTTTTTCTCAGTTATGGGCAAAAAAGAGCCAACTTCGCCATATGTAAAAATATGTAAAAATGAACAACTTTCAACAACAATATCTCAAAATCTAGATTAAAAAAAATATGACGCACAAAGGGAGCACTGGGTAATACGCTATATAAAATTTAAGTACATCTGTGCATTTTAGTAAACCCGATATACCTCGTTAAGTCAGGTAAAAAATGGAGATTTCTAAGAATTACATTGTATTAAATTTCAACAAATTATATATTTTCCGGTTCCTGCTATATGCATAGGCAAAAACCATTTCTTTTTAATTATCGGAACATGCTTAATGAACTCCGATTCTCAGTAGGCCTTGAAATGAGAAAATTTTAAAATACAGTGTTCGTATAAGTTCCAAATTACGCGTTTCTTCAAGTACAAACACACACAAATAAGTTTGCGTTTCTGAGCTGCGCGAGACAGAGGAAGAACGCGTTAGGCTAGAGGCGACTCAGACGCAAACTTATTTGTATTCAAACCAAAAAGTACATAGAACACTGTGGAAATATAGACGTATATGCATATATATTTACATATGTATATCGTGAGCACCTGGGGATCTGCAGCGCCACCTCGTCGAGACTGTCGGAGGGGGTGAGGGGCGGCCGCTCGAACAGCCTGCTGGGTGCCAACGTGAGCGCGGCGTCGGCGTAACGGTGACGGCCGCCGCGACGGCGCCGCAACAGCTGCTTCTTCTTCTTGTCCTCCTCGGCAGCTCTGCGCAGGTTGTGCAGCCGGAAGAAGTACATAGACATTCTGCGGGGGAACCACAGTACGTACTTTTAGTTTTCTGTATGCGTTTGTTGCTCGTCGAGGAGTATATGGTAAATTTAAAAATGCAGAGGGTAATTCTTTTGGCACCCTGTATATAGCGCTTTCAAAGGAAACTGAACGGTTTGGAATACGTTAAATTATTATCAGAATTTTTATATATCGGAATTTTTAACAAAGCTTTACAAGAAAATCAACAAAAGCGAACCCCTTAAAAATTCCCATAAGTGTCTCGTTATGGGGACAACATGATCGCCTTACCCTTTGTCAGAATTCGTGACTGCCACGTCGATAAATTTACCATATACTCGTTCGAAGGTGCGTTTATCCACCCTTGTCGTGTGAGTAAACAAATTAGAGACGGCATGCAAGCAAAGCAGAAGAATTGGATCAAAGCGATCACGTGACTCGTTCCCAAAGCAAGCAAGCAATCCAATTAGCAGGGTTACAAGTATGGGTATACGTACCTGTTGCTTAGCCGTGTAATTATCCTGATGCGTGTTCAAAGACGGCATTGTATATGGTTGTAAATTAGTGATCCTGTCGGCGCAGATTTTATTCGTTCCGTTTTATTTGTCGGTGTGAAACATTCAATGAAATTGAACTATAAGACTACAGAGCTATAGAAGTAGAGAACCATATAATGTGGAACTATTTTGGCTGATACTTATTTTAGAAAAACATTCCTCTAAGTGGTTCTTCAATAAGACTTTTCGCCGACAGCCAACGCTGATTAAAGAAAACATTAATGACAGGAAGCAGTGGGGCAACGAAATGTTTTCAACCTTAATTTCGACGGCTTCCTTGGGTCGTTCTGGGAAATGGTCCTGAAATAAATGGGCCTATAGCCCTATAGTCGCTTCTTTAGGCTGCAATTGGTAAGTTATCAGGATGAGATTGCTTTGGTCGGATGAAACTGGACAAAATCTAAGGAAGTGTCTGTCTTTCTACAGTCGTTTGTTTGCAAGACACATATGCAGTGTGATATCGATTGAAATACAATATATATTTCAGTCGCGTCTGAGAGAGCTGATCCTTCAGTCGAAGTACATAAGAAAAGAAAGTTTTATTTCGCACTACACTAGAGAATTTGTATTTACCCGATGTTCAAGTGTATTGAGGATCAATAACTCCTTCGAATCGTTCCTATGGTGCTAGAATGCACCGTAGCCACATCCCATGAGCCGCGTTATCTTTGGAAACTTAAGAGATTATCATAAACTGTTAGAAGTTGCTAGAATTCCATGGTGTTATCCTTAGAGAGACATTAAGCTATCAAACGTACTTGTTCGTTAACTTTACAATCTGCTTAGTGTCTGAATAGCCTTAAATAAAGTCCTTTATCTTCGGAATATGAAAAATAAGTCACCGTTCCGCATTGGCGCTGGGTTGAATTGAAAAATGCACAAACGAAAGGCGTAAAGTCCTGAATAAACACAGTTTATAGTAAGTTTAACGACGCGAGTATGCGATAAAACCAGTAAAATTTATCAAAACGGTTGGAAATCTGAAGAATCTGCTGTCGTGGCTCATGAAATATAAATGGAGAGAGCGCGTGCCGTAGGTTGTTGAAAGATGGGAGTATAAACCCCTGCTGGATTTCGCGAGCAAACATATTTGACAGCAAAAACAAATCGAGTGTTTTACAGTCTATTTTTTTCGGGATTTCATGTGTTGTTGCCCTGACGAGAAATATGTGTAAAGTCAATAGGTTTTAGTTCAATATGCCTTAGATTAAAGGTACAGGGTAGAAGATAGACGATAATAGTTATTGCTTAATCAGACAATTTTCATTAAAAAAAAATTGAGGTACATGTGACAATATATGTCCATTATCTTTTAATAAAAGCGAAAGATATCAACAGATAAATGAAAGCTCTTTAATAATCTAACATTTTTCTTGCCCCCACACACTTTAATTCATAATACCTGTTTAATTTTACTTTTTATAGCACAAAATTTTCCTCGTCAATATCTCGGTACTTTGTTTTAAACAGAAACATTTTTAATTTATAATAACTAACTTGAAGACTCGCAGATTACTTTTAAGCACGAAATTTCAAAGTAGCCAATGTTCCAGTAAATGATCAGCGTCTTTAATTGAATCGCTGCTTCCATACCAAACTCTGAATTTGGAATGGAAACTTATACCTACTCGAGTGTCAAATATACATACTTAGTATTTGTACACTCGATGAGACCTCTTTCTTCTTACAACAAATTGCTCTTTCATTTTTCATGTATTCCTAACAATGCTATTTTTGTTTTGTGATTCTATCGGTGTTCAAGAAGAAGCCCCAGCGAGAGGTATTAATCTGTGACAACAAAACGGAATTAAAAACAAACAAAATTACAAGGGTTTTCGTATACAAAGTCGTTTAATTCTGTTTATTGTGCAAAAAAATTAGTATGTTATTCCTGCCCACAAAACCGTTAATCAATAATTCGGAATGTGAATTGTTCTATTTACAACCTGCTATTGACATTGTCATTAACATCCGTTTTATAATATACGGCTACGTCCGGCAAAAATAAGAAGAGGATTTAATTTCTTGTAATTTAAAAATTTTTACTTGACATAGATAGAAACAGCCCTGGATATCTAACGGTACCGCACCCCCGACATATTTCAAAACAATTCACCCCCTTGTTTCCGGCTCCTTAATTTGCATACTTTCCACCCTTCCTGCTTTTGACATGTACCTACCTATTTCACGTGATTTCTCCCGTTACGATAAATAAACGTTCCCTCGAATAATACTTCAAACAAAAAGTTGTGAAACGCCACCCAGACAAACTCGCGGAGCAACTGTTTTCCGCTTCGTTTAAACGTTGTTTTTCATGTCTCGTGAGTCGGATCGGAGATATTACGTCGCCTTGTGCACTTGTCTGAGGAAATACGGCACCCAGACGTGTGTCACGTTGCACCCTGATATTTCCTCCAATTGTCTTTTTCGATAAATCATCAGAGCAGCAGATTTGCTTCTAGAACAACTGGTCTCTGATTTACCGTCCACAATTAGAAAGTTTTCTAATACTTTATTACCTCATATGTACCTGCTTTGAAAACTGTTTTAAAGGAAAGTAAAACCCCTATAACTTGGCGAAGTACTAAGGAGCTTCTACGGGGACTTTTGTTTAATTTGTTATAGTTACCTAATAAAAAAAAGGTTAAATAATATTAATATCAAAAATGATTAGTCCATTTTTAGGAGTAAAATTCTAATAGGTATTTCATATTAGGGATTTTTTGATAAAAAATATATTTACGCCACTGGATTCACGACCCCCCAAAACGGGCCAATACCAAGTAATAATAACGATTTTTGTAGCCAAATCAAAAATTCGCAAGTCTTTACATTTTTTTTCATTTTTTTATTGTTGAAATCAACCTAACCAAAAAAGGAAATTAATTAAACTCTAGTAAGTGTAGTGGAATACTAAATAATAGAATAATTGTCCCTTTCTTTTTTAGGGCAATTTGAATACGAATAAATTTTTAAATTTTCTTAATAATGAATTTCGGAACGCATTAGATGATTTGCCTTTAAGAAATCTCCTTAATTTCTTCTAATTAAACTTCTTGAAACTTCTTTCAATTATATGGTAGCCCTATTCATAACGCTGCTACGGTGAGAGAATGGTTAAACGAACATTTTGAGAACTGTTGGAGTTGGAGCTTTAATTGAGTGGCAGCCAAGATCCCCGTATTCATTAGATTTTTTCTTTGGGGTTTATTGAAACAAAAAGTTTATAAATCAAGGCCACAAACTCTACATGAACTACGCTAGGATAATGCAACCCTGTGCAGAAATTACCCCAAACCAAAACAAAAGGTAATTACGAACGTGCGTAAAAGAATTGAGAAGTGCATAGAATGCTGGATTGATAGAAGTGACAGGAATATAATTATCTAACTTTTTTGGTTTCAGTTTCATTATTTTATTTTTAAGTAATAGCCAGCTGTGTCACTTATACAGAGATGAATCTCTAGCGAGAAATTAACTGATAAATATAATCTTACTTTTCCAATATCTTCAATGTCATTCACATCGATGTATTTCATAAGCTGCCAGAAGCAATAAGTGAAACGTAGCGTTCCCAGCGCTTACGTTTGACGATAAACTATAAAGTTTACCTATCACATACAGAAACGTCCTGCAACGCCTGTAAACAACGTGCCTTCAGACAGAAAAGCCGCAATTTGTCCCGGCGTCGCCGTCGTCTCGACCGTTCCTCTTCCTGGCAATTCCCCGAACGGACATCGCCGGATGCATTTGTCCGGCCAAACATGGCAGCAGACACGGGACGGTTTGCACCTTGACATTTCGTCCCCCTCCCACTCCCCCTCCCCCCCACCAAGTCGTCCGTATCTCTCTTCCGCATCAGTGACTCTATTATGAGGAGTTGCTGGCACGCTCCCCGAGGACTTCTTATAGGCAGCGACGCGGAGGACACAGGCACGTACCCCTTCAATCAATAACGTGTATTACTCTCTCTAGATTTCCTTGGCTATTTCTGATCCGTCCGTGACGATATCGCCATGGCTGTCTAAGGGATCCCGCACCCCGCGACTTAACCGCGTAGTTGCTCCTTTATTATAACAATACCTATGTACGTTTTCAGCTACAGAATTTGAATAATTCTAAATATTTCGAATTTTCACCCCCAAGAACGGCGGTGACAACATTTTTAAAATTATGGCGATGTTTCGCATGGTACTAGCTATGTCCTGTACACATTTAGTTTCGCGCAACTCACTCGGTTTCAAAAATACAATACCTATGTATGTAAGATATTTAAAAATTCCTCTCCACATACTCGAACAGCTCCACTGGACCTTTCCCTGTATTTAGGATATTTTGTGTTAATCACTGCCTATAGTGTAAGTTTGGTTGCCTAATAGTTGCCGTCACGTGAGCTTAGATCAATCTTGTTCCTGCACTATTACGATGCTCTTTGTATCCCACTAGATAAAATAAGAT